CAAAAAAAAAACAAAAACAACAACAACAAAAAAAAAAACAAAAAAAAAAAACTAACAACAGAGCCAGGCAGTGGTGCAGCAATAATGCAGCTGGACCCACATAGGAAAGGTCCTGGGTTCACTTCCCAGGACCTCTGTAAGCATGGCAAGTAAACACACTTACATGGCCGTGACCTAGGTCAGTGGAGCGAGACTGGGGGAGGATTGAGGCGTGAAGACCTTGGGAATATCTGATTCTCTGTATCTCTCTTTCCTGTTATCTCTCTCATGGAAGAAATGAATAAACTTAAAAAACAAAATCAAAACAAAAACAAAAAAAAACTTAGAGAAAAAGAAAAATAGCCAGCAGAAATGATCATTATTAAAGAACTATTCATCAGAAGGGACATGGATAAGTGAAATGATTTATACGTAATGGGGTACTATATGTGCCTGGTTAAAATTAAAATAACTAGATCAATAACTATTAACTCAGACAAGTTTTCTCCCTTCCTTCCTCCCTTCCTTCCTTCCTTCCTTCCTTCCTTCCTTCCTCCCTCCCTCCCTCCCTTCCTTCCTCCCTCTCTCCCTCCTTTCTTTCTTCTTTCCATTAAGAATCCACAAAAAATAAATAAATAAATAAAAACAACCACAGAGATAGGTGAATGCGTTTAGACCCTAGAAGAGGCTGCAGAACCTAGGAGGAGTTAGGACAGGGTGGACACATGAGCTGTCTCAATGACCCAGGCTTGAATACCAGCCTGGCCTCTCTCTAGTGGTATGAGGGAACTCCAGAATTCTTGGAGAAATGGAATTAAAATATGAATCTATATTGATACAAAAAGTTGTTAAATCCATGCATGGCTTTTTCGTAATAAACATTTTCCATCAGCTTTTAAAGACCCTGTATGTGACTCCTAGCTTGTTTGTTTTATCTCTCCAACACCTCATCTCTCTGACACCAGCTGTGTGCCAGGTTTGTGCTAGAGAAATAGCACTGAACCAAACGCACACACACCTCCCCTCGCCACTCAGCAGGTAATCTAATGAGGAGGGGACAGGAAATGTACCACCACGTAAATCATGCCGCACTACCAAGCGCAAGCCCTCATGAAGGGAAAGTAGACCGGCAATGCTGACGTTTAATTTGGGTCGGGCTGTTGGGGAATCCAGCCTCTGAGCAGCATTTAAAGTGGAATCTTAAGGACGCCGAGGTCTGGGGCTCCAGGAAGGGGAGGACTTCGGAAAGAAGGCCCGCAGGGCATAGTTGAGGAACTGAAGGGGAGCCAGAGTTCTGGACCCAAGGAGGGGGAGAGAGAGTTGTGCAAAGTGAGGCCAGCAAGATAGTCAGGAGCCAGATCACTCAGGGCCTTGAGAACCAAGGAAGTCACTAGAAGGTTTTAGTAGCAGAGTGACATGGGATTAGACTTGTGGTTGTCAGAGATCTCCTTGATGCTCTTTGAAGAGCAGAGCGGGTGCTGAGCAGCCCAGTTAGTTACTGGTGGTTGGCACTGCCCAGATAAGAGAAAGTGGCCGTCTGGATCAGCATGGTGGCAGTGGAGCTGGAGAGACATGGAAGAGATGAGGTATTTTTGGAGACAGATTTAGCAGGTCTGGGTGATGGATTATATGTAGGAAGTCACCGTGAGGGAGGGGCCGAGGACGAAAGCTAGTTTGGGGCATGAACAGCTGTGGGTTGGTAGGGGTGGAAAACACCAGAACCAGAGCAAACTCGGGGGTGGAGGAGAGCAGGGGGGCACGCCACACACAGGGTGGCTGGGCTTTGGTTTCTTCAGGTGTGACTGCAGCGTGTGATGGTGTCAGCACCTGCGGAATGAGTGTTTGAACCCTGTTATCCAACACCTCTTCCTCAGCAGCTTCCTTCTCCCACAGGTGGGGCCTGCTACTCTTGGGGCTGGAACGAGCACGGCATGTGTGGAGACGGTACCGAAGCCGACGTCTGGACCCCGAAGCCTGTGCAGGTCCTGCGGTCGTCATCAGGGCTCCTTGTGGGCTGTGGGGCTGGCCATTCCCTAGCCCTCTGCCAGCTGCCAGCACCCCTAGCACTGGACCAGGACCCCACGGTCACCTCCCCTTCTGCAGATACCACCAAGGACACTGAATCTCAGAAAGCCATGGACCGAGACAGAAACTGGAAGGAAAGATAATCAGAAACTTCAGCCCAGAACCAACCTAGCAGATCCAGAAACAGGGCTCTGCGGAGGGGGACCTTTAATAAAGCGGCTTTTCCCACCAAAGTTTCCCGTAGAAAATCGGTTTGTCTAATGCGGGGCTGGCCTGAGGAGGGCTGGGAGGCACCCGTGGTTGGACTGGCCACAGACCCAAAGGACGGGCAGCTGCTCACCCAGGGTCTGAGGCCCAGGGGCACAGGCATCCTTTCTACTTGGCAGATGAGAATGAAGGGGTAGGCCCTTCAAAGGACATGGACGCCGAGACATGGCGGAAGGCCCCAGCCCGTCCCTGCCCATAGAAATGGAGAACCAGTCACTGCTATGATTGCTCTGGCGTCCAGCACCTTTGATTCAGCCAGAGGGTTCCTGGGCCATGCTTGGAGAAGCCACAAAACCTCTTTTGGAGTTTTAACCTCAGGGCCCAAAGCTTGCAATTTGCTGTTTGCAGGATGTCGAGGTGCCCTGCCTGGATACTTACTCAGAAAACAGGTCTTGTCTCAGTAACCGGCCCAGTGGAAAAAGCTCTGGAATGGGGGTGGGAGTGGCAATGAGTAAGTGGAGAAAAAGGCAAGACTTCTGGGAAGACCCAGCAGAGGAGACCTTGGGACAGACACAGGAATCTAGCGCCAATGGAACTCTCGAATGAGTTCTGTCGTCACCTGAGCCAGGCAAGACTCTGGAGCTAGTCTGTGACTATAATTGCCAAGCTGTATAGTCCAGATGAGGGGCAGGCCACTGCATGGGAAGGGGAGTTTGTAGGGATAGGGGGATCAAGGACCCCAGCCTCTGCCTGCCTGCAGGCCTTGGCCTCTGCAGGAGGAGGGGAACTAGGTGAGATTCCCGGCCCCTGGTTCCCCAGATGCAGATATGGCTTTGGGGGTACATAGCACCTCTCTCTGCTATGACTGGCAATAAGTCCTTGGTCAGAAGAATTCAGAGGATGGACTGTCCCCAGAGGACTGAATGGCAGTGTCACCAGCTAGGCAGCCCTGGTCTGTGGTCCAGGCCGCACTACCCCCCTTTCATGATTCAGGAGAGTTTGGGTCTGTGATGACTGGGCTCCAGTGGCTTTGAAAAGTTACAGAATCCCAGGATAGCAATACTGGAGGACCTTTAGTGACCATCTAGCCTAGTAGCTTTCAAAGTACATTCTTCAGGGACCAGCAGATGGCGTAATGGTCACATCCCTAGACTCCCACATAGTCGACCATGTTTCGAGTCCCAACCCAGCAGCTTCAAACTCACGTCGGGTGCATGTGCATGTGTGCTCAAAATCCTGAGAGGAGAATGGAGGAGAAGGGATTGTGGTGTGGCCATCCCCTCTTAGGGGGGTGGTTTCTTGTGTTCTGTCTCTCCGGCAAGCACACATGCCCTATAGCAAAAACAAACAAACAAATAAACAAAAAAACCCTCTTTTAGAAAAAAAAAAAAAGTGCATTTTTCAGAGCCCTGGGAGTCTCCTGAGAACTCAGTGGCCACCTCATAGACAATGGGGAAAGGGGACCACGTAGACAGAAGGCTTCCTCTGGTTCCCTACCTCCACCTTATTCCAGGCAGCTCTGGATTTATCTATGTATGATACTTTGGGACTCATGTAAGATTTTATTTGACAAGGAAGTCCTTGAGAAAGTCTAAAAAACTAGTGATCTTTTTAGAAATAGGGTCTCGCTGTGATGGTCTGGAACTCTCAATCCTCCTGCCTTAGCTTTTTGAGTAGCTGGGATTACAAGTCTACACATTCACGCCCAGCTAAAAACCACAGATAGTACCGAGCACTTTCCTTGTTCATGTGGGAAAACGGAGGCCTAAAGAGGGGGAGGGACTCTCTCAAAGTCATACCTTCACTACAGGGTGAGGATCCTGATTGGGAAGTGACTGAGCCAGAGTCCTGAGTCAAACAAAGGTGGGATAGAGTAGCCCTAAGACCAGAAGTGGGTTCAGCCCAGGAGGGTGGGGATGAGGACAGTGCTAAGATCCCTAGGCCTGGGCCTAGAGACTGACTACCCACAGCCATTGACTGACCTTGAACACCAGTGCATGGACTCTTGCTCCCAATACTGCACCCTGGAAACATGGCTGCCCTGGCTGTCAAAGCTCTCACAGCATCCCCACAGCATCCTCAAACCACTAGAGATCAGTGTAACCTCCAGGCACTTTCGGAGTGAGGAGATCCCCATGTACCCCAAACCAATCTTGCCAAGGTGGTCAAACCCCCAGAGATGGAGCAATCATGACCCAGAGATGACCCATATCAGAGCAAGCCCACCTCCTCTGTCATGCCTATGATGCTCCATGAATGACGCCCCACCCTTTGTCTTACAGGCTGGGTGGTCCTGCAAGGAACAGTACTCAGGTCACACCCCTAGACAGACTTTCCAGTCTCGAGGAACCAATGCACTCTGTCACCTGGCTGCAGTGGAGCACTTCCTCCTGCTGCCTTCCACACCCACTGGAAGAAACCCAATCGTAAGTCCTCTATTGTTGGGGACTAATACCTCTCCTGAGGCTTCTGTGGGCACCAGGAAGATGGGGCATAGAAGCAGGTGGCAAAGCAGCAATAAAAAGTCCTTTGATCTAGAACCTCAACTCTCAGAACTGGGTCAGACCCTTTTCGGCAGGGCATAGATAGTCCTCCTGGGGAAGAATGAGTGACTTTTGGCACCAGAAGATGTCAAAGAGCATCCCATCATTTTAAGCTCCTCCATTTCACCCTCTGACAGTGTCATGGTGACGGGCTTTCTTCAATCTGATGAGTGTCTGAAAGCTTTCAGATGGTGAGTGAGAAGGTATCGAAACAGTCTCCTCACCTTTGCTGGGTCCCTTTATTGCTGTAGGTCATTCTTGGATTTGTAAATGTCCAATACCTTTGTTTCTAATAGACCAGGAGCTCTTAGAGAGCAAAAGTCCAGGTCATGATCAATTTTGGAACCCTTCACCAAGGATGGGCCCTGGTACAGAGGAAGCACCCAGTAAATAGAAATGAACGACATTGTCAATACATCATTAGCCCCCATGAGATGGGGAGGTTAAACCAATGGGCTCTAGGATCTCCTCCTCCTTAGCCACCCTCTGCTTTTACTCCTTTTACAAGTGATTGAGAACTGTGCTATAGACATCAAACCATCCGATAGTCAATGAATGTCAGTACCATCCAACTGACTAGTAATGAGCTATAGCAAGTAGCATGAGAAAGTAACCTCATTAAAATAATTACTTTTGTCTGATCAACTAAGTAAATTGATTTATTTCTCCCATTTGAGGAAGAAAGGGAAAAGAAGAGGAGAGCGAGCCCTCATGGTATGCTCACAGTCTCTGGCCTGGTCCCTGGAGTGATTCCCGAAAGTCGAGCACGTCCTGGATGTTGGTAGCTGCTCCCGTCTCTGCCTGCCTCACTCCTCTGCCCTCCTTAGCACAAGCACCCCATCTCCCCTTCACTCCTTCACCACCTGTGGCCCTGGTGCGTTCCGAGTGCAGGCCTAGGGCTCACCATACAGCCCTTCCACCATGGCCCAGCCATCTGCCACTTCTGGAGATGTGGTTCAGTGATGAATCGAAGTTGGGAGTTATAATAGCAAGTCAGTGGGGGAAATGGTGGGCATTTTAGACAGGGTCCCAGGTCCTAAGGCATGTGTGCACAACGTCAGGAGTTCAAACTTGAGGAGTGACTGCAGGGCACAGAGGGAGGTGGGTCCCTCTGTGGAGAGACGAGAGGCTGGCAGGCCTTGCAAGCCAGTTGAGGGAGCTTAAACTTCATTCTTAGTGCAGCAGGGTATTTAAACCAAAGAGTGAGACTGGGCAGGTGTCATGTGTGAGGCTGGGAGCAAGATAGGAAGTGGCCCCTCTGTCACCTCTATGGTACTTTGTGAAGGAGAGCAGGAGGCCAGGTCCTGAGGTCCTGGCAACCAGCAACTCTAATGTTCCTACCAGGTGCCTCTCTAAAGGTCCTCCCCAGAAGGAGCTCAGTTAACTTGAGCTAGCTTAGCCTGAGCTCTGGAATTGTTCCACCTGGGTTCAAATCTTACCTTCCTCATTCATCAGCTGTGTGGCTTTGGGTCAGTTACTTTAATTCTCTGCACCCAAAGTGGGGTTATTGAATTATTGTGAGCTATCATTAGACAACATTAGTAAGATGCTTTGGACATAGTAGGTGCTTAGTGAATGTTAAATCCCACTAGGTACTATGTCCCTGAAAACCCATATTCCAAATGGTTTTGAGTTGAGTCTCACTCTGAGTCCCCAGGAGGAGCTTCCTTGCTACTGGGTCCCAAGTAGAGCAGATGTCACTCTCCCTGTGGCAGTGACAACTGCTTGGCTTGAACATCCTGGTCCTTTTCAATGGTCAGTCCAGCCCTTCAGCCACCAAACCCCAGGGCTGAGGCCTTGCCATGCTCACTGCTCACTAGTGCCACCTGGGTCCCTGGATGGCACAAGGCACCAGGAAGTTGAGGCAGATGCTGAAAGGAGATCAGATCTCTGGACCTTGTTTACTCATCTGTAAAAAGCTCAGAGGTTGCCTGCCATGACAGTTCTGGACTCTCCACCTGAATGTTCCTGGAGTCTCTCGTGGGTAGGAAAAGATGGAACCCTAGTTGTTTACCCCCCATCCCTGACAAAAAAAATCTAGTGAACGACTCAAGCAAATCAAGATCCTTGGAGAGGGACTACCCCTTCCAAGATGCCCACAGGCTGAGCTTAGTCAGTGCAGTGGTCCACCGCATAGGCCCAGCCAGGGCACCCTGGCCGCACAGTCAGACCCCTGCCTCTGGTTCCATTGGATTTAAGCCCATCCTTACAAGGGAGGCAACTGTCGCCTGCAGAGGGTGCTGGGAGCTCTGACACAGTCAGATCAAGGACCCATCAAGATAGCATGACAGAAAACTTTCCATGTCAGGTGGGCCTCCAGAGGATGCAATGGTCTTATGTCAAGTTGCCCTTAGCCCCGAGCCTTCTGAGAGCTGCCTCCCTCCCCTGACCCACCAGCATCTGCAGCCTGAGAGGTCACCCTGCTCAACGAACCTGCAGATGGCAACTTCTTCCTTAGGGTTTAGCTTTCCCCCAGCAAGCACCTTAACGTGCATCTTTGAGGCCAGAGTAGTCAGGCCCCAGGCTTACCCCAGACCAGCCACAGTGGACCAGCGGCCCAGAACGAATCGCGACACTGCCTGAAGGCAATAAAAACCCAAATGCGTGCTTCATCTCCAAAGTCAGCTTTTTATTATTAGGGGCCAGGGCCCAGGGAGGGGGTGGTGGTTGAGCTAAAGCATCATTGCTCTCTTTCCAGGAAATGTTGTGAGCTGCAGTGAAAGCTTGAGATGTTGCATTTTTTTTTCAACTCAAGCATGTGTTTTTCAAAAATACCATCCTTCTCTCCCCCCCTCCCCCCCACTAATTTTAGAATCAGACCAAAGCCAAGCTACTGTCCTCTGTTTCTGTTGGGAAAATACTATATTTATTCGAGATGCAGAAGTGTGTCTCTGCGAACCTCCGATTGCTTCAGGAAAACAAATCTGCTTTAGACTGTACAGAAACCATGATACAAAATTTATTTCATGCTCGAATCGCTTTGCATAACATTGGGCATGCAGGTTTTTACTCGGAAGTACTAAATTGCATACAGTGCCAGGCTGGGCCTTAATCAAGGTGGAGGGGAGTGCTCCCCCCTGCACCCCCGTGGTCCTGGTCTTTTGGTGCTCTACATCCTGGTTTTAAAGTTAACACTTGGAAAATCCGTACGGTGTTGATTATTTGCTATGAACAATTGGTTATGAAAGTTGGTCACACTGGATCTACACACCGAAAAGATGAGAGACTCAACCTAGACTAGCCGCTGTCAGAGGTCTTGGGGAGACGTCCACTGGGTCACAAGCATGCCAAACGGGGAGGGGAGGAGGCGGCAGTGCGAGTGTCCACAGTTCTACTCGGAGCAAAGTTCTGTTTCCACGTGAGAGATGGACTATGAAGGTGAGGTCAATATGACCGATGACTGACCGACTGCCCCTTTTGGAACCTTGACTTTCAATCGTGTACACAAAGGGAAGCAATCCAGCCCCCCACCCCCTCCCCGCC